CAGCTTCATGAGAGCAGTGACTTTCACTTTTGCTCACTGGTGCCTAGCATTCATTCATTTATGTATTTATTAATCAAATATTTATTGAACACTTAGGATATGCCATGCTAGGTATGGTTCTAGGTCCCTGCTCTCATGAAGTTGTATACACTGGAGGAAGCTAGACTTTGAAGAGAGAAACACACTAGCAATGTCATTTCAGGCAGAATAAGAACCCGATAAGGAACAAGGTTGGCTCAATGGGTAAGCACTTAGCTGCTAAGGACAGCTCCGCAGGAGAAAAGACTTGATCCCATAAAGATTGACAGCTACCCTAGGGGGTAGTTCTATGCTGTCCTATTCATGTAGTGGGTCGCTATGCATCAGAATCTACTTAACAGCACTGAACAATTAGAGCCGTAAGGAGCGCTGGTGGCACAGTGGTTACATACTTAGCTGCTAACCAAAAGGAAGGCAGTTTGAACCCACCCAGCCTTCTTGTCACACAGTCACTATGAGCCTCAACCCAACTCAAAGGCACCTCATATGGAGGGATGGCTGGGGTGGTCGGAGAAGGTTTCTCTGAGGAGGATCTCTATCCACAGGGGAATGCTCACGTAAATATTTCTTGAGCGGATACACCAACTAGACTATGCATTCCGTGAGGGAGAGAGGAAGGGCCCTGGCGGTGGTGCGGGTATGCATCGGGCTCCGAGACACATGGTCGGCGGTTGGAACCCTCAGCTGCTGTGAGGGAGAAAGGCTGGGCTTTCTACTCCTGTAAAGTTAGAGTGTTGGAAACGCACAGGGGGTTGCGGGGAGAGGGAGAGAGGAGCCCTGCCCTGGCGAACACCAGCACTCCTATCTGCCACTGGCATGGGAAAAACAAAAACAAAAGCAAACTCATTGCCATCTAGCCAATTTCGACTCCCAGTGACCTTGTATGACAGAGCGGAACTGTCCCTTTAAATCTCTACAGGAGTAGACAGCCTCATCTTTTTTCTGTGGAGCAGCTGATGGGTTCGAACTACTGACCTTGTAGTCAGCACTCACTGTGTGAGCTATGCCACCAGAGCTTCTTGCATGGGCATATAGTAGGCCCCTTTAAATTATTCCTATGAATGGATGACTATATAAATACTGGTACTTCTCTCAGATTTACTTACATCTCCTTATAGTCATTTTACATCCATGGGTACACATTTAGAGTGGGAAAATACATGTGCCTATCGGTAACTTCCATTCGGGGTTGCCATAATGATGAGAAAAGGAGTTCCTTAATGAAGAAGGGTGGCTATGTACAATAAAACCTGTGAATATTGGAACCTGTGTAAGACAGAAAACTGTCAGAAAAGGAAAACTCAAACCTTTTCCACTAATGGAGACCAATAGAAAAGTGATGACTGCATCCTGTCGAGGCCGGAAACCTGTGAGACCTGGAAAACCAAGGCAATCCCATTGAGTTCTGGCTCTCACAGTTTCCACTGTAGCTTGCAGTACAGGGGGGCAGTCCCACATAACAGAATTGTCCTGGACCCCACATGACTTTCAAATGACCTACCAGACCCTCATGCAGATGAAAAAACCGTCTTGTATAATTACCCAAGCCTAGACATTAACTCCCTTTTACCTAGAAACAGAAAGAATTTTTGCATCCTTAAACATAACTAAATTTTCTGAGTGCCACGACTGTAAATTGGGGAATATTACATTTTGTTTTATTGAAGCCTTACCAAAATGAGTTCACCTTTTCAGATACTTTCAGCACCCTTGGAAGCAACTGCCATACTGGCTGTCACATTGCTAGCTAGCCATGCTAAATTCCATCATTCTCAGGACTTCACCATGCAATCCCCTGTATTGGGGTCAAACATGTACATGTTTGGCCATTTTTTAAATTATAAATGATTTTAGTTCTTAATTTTCAATTAGACAATACGTTGATTTTAGACGTTATCCACGTGGCTGGCTCAATTGTCAGTGGATTCCGTTCCTGAATGATGGGTGGGGGCGGGGTCCTAATCTAGTTCTTAAGAAAAGTTGCCCTTGGGGCTGGAAGCCCAGAGCAGGAGCGGTCCTCCGCCCGTCAGGGGGCGCTGTGGCGTCGTGCGGCC